CTCCTCTAACCCCCTTGCTACATAAGGGGAGGCACCTCAGGCCTAGCAGTGGCCATCTCGGCAGGGAGGAGGAAGAAGCTCTTTGCAGCAGCTGGTTTTATGCATCAACTTGGCTCTTGGCTTTGTTTTCTTTCCTTTCTCCCAAATACTTATTTAAGACAATCTTATTGCATTGTATAAGAGCTCTGGTAGCGTAGTGCCTAAAGCACTTGACTGCTAACTAGAAGGCTGGCGGTTCAAACCCACCAGCCACTCCTCAGAAGGAAGATGAGGCAATCTACTTCCGTAGTGATACTGCCTCGGCAACCCAAGGAGAGGTCACTATGAGTTGGGTCCGACTTGATGGCACATAACAACAACAACATTGCATTGTATGCTCTAAACTATTTGAAAATAGTTTTGGAATGGAATGAAATGGGAAGGAGAAAGAAAAACTAAGAGATAGTTAGAAAAGTTGAAAGTGATCTTACCAACAATCTCTCAATATTCAGATCCAAAATTCTTTCTTATACCACTTTCTTATTTTAAATCATCCTGTGAAATAGGCTTGGAAAAACCATTTGAAAATAGTTTTGGAATGGAACGAAATGGGAGGGAGAAAGAAAAACTAAGAGATAGTTAGAAAAGTTGAAAGTGATCTTACCAACAATCTCTCCATATTCAGATCCAAAGTTCTTTCTTACACACTTTCTTATTTTAAGTCGTCCTGTGAAATAGGCTTGGATACAATTTCACTGCCATTCTACAGAGGAGAAAACAGAGAGTCAGAGACGTGCTGTGATGTGGTCAACAGCCAGAGGAGACACTTGAGCCAGTGCTCCTCCGACTACATCACACTTTCCTCTTCCCCAGCCTGCCATTTCTTCCCCCTGAGGGTCGGGCCTGGGTCAGACACTCCCTTCAATGAGATGAGAGAGAGGGCTGTGCCACAGAACCTCAAGCATAGGGGCCTGCTTCAGCCTCCCAGAGTGCAAGGCCCAGAAATACTGCTGTTCAGGGCAGGCACTGCAGAACCTGTCCACTCTGGGGAGCTGATGGCCTGGATGAGGACTATCTTGGGTGTGACTGGGGCTGAATAAAGGACTATAGCAGGAACCAGCCCCAGTCCAGTTGACATCTATAGCTGTTACATACTAGAAATACTTTAAAAGGATTCATAAGACAGGAAAATATAAAATAAAGGGGTGGGCAGCAGGACTGGGGAGGAAGACGTCTTTTGCATTTGAACAGAAGTGCCAAGAACTTGATCCCTAAATACTTAGTCAGGGTGCTGGTCTGATTGTGGATGGACTTGGCCTTCCCAGGGTAGGTGGCTCTACCAATGGGAATGAACAACTGGGAAAATACCGAGGCCTCATGTGGAAGGACGTAGGGAGGCTCCTCACCTGACACCGAGAAACACATCCCCTGGAGGCCGTCCGACAGAGGCCAAGAGGTGTTTGCCTCCAGATGTTCCCTGCAATGGTACCAGAGTGAAAACTGGAGAGAAATTGCTAAATGTTCAGTGAGAAAGATTCTGGCAACCCACTCAGTGGAATCTAATGGTGTAGTTAACAGCATGGAAGAGGGTATGTGGTGTAAAGTCGAGTTCGCCATCACACTGTGTCCCCTTAAGGATGACTCACGGGAACAGTTTCTCTTGGTCCCCATGCCAGGAAACTGTGCTTCTCCAGGGCAGCTGCTTTGCTTTTGTCTTTTGGATTCTACATACCAATTAACTGACCACATTTCCTTTTTAGTTTTGATTGTTGGGAAGCTCCACATCAAATTCATGGCCCACTCTCACAGCCTTATGGCAGGGATTTTGTATACCAACATTGCTTTTGGCTTTATTGGTTTTTTGTTCCCTTCTCCCAGATGTCTTCCTATTTATTGATAATTCTGTGGTGTCGTATCCTGTTCTGTGGATCAAAACAGTCCAGTCTGCAGCCATGGGGTTGACACAGGACCTGGCAGCACTTCATTCGGTCGTACATGGGAATGCCACGAGTCAGGGGCCAGCTTGATGGCAGCTAGCAACAACATTGTATGCTGCATTTGTAAACTACTTTACTTATTTTTTTTTTTTTTTTTTAATGAGATGGAGAGGGAAAGAGAAAGTGAAGAAGAAGGAGAAAGTTTAAGTCTAAAAAAGTTGAAAGACCAGAGCAAAGAAGAATGAAGAAAACCAAAGCTTCATGGAAACAATTAGTCCAAGCGACTGGTATACTATGCGATCCACAGCCTATACAACTATGAGACCAGAAGAACTAGATGGTGCCCAGCTACCACTGTCAACCATTTGGAGGGGGATATATGTGGGAGATCCTGGATAGAGTAGGAGAACAATGTGGAACAAAACTCAAAATCATTTGGGAAAAAAAAAAGGGACCAGGTTTGCTGTTCTGATAGAGCCTGGTAGAACCACTGAGACTATGGCCCCTGGCTGCCTTTCAGGTCTGGAAATGAACCCATACCTGTGGCTTCCAGCCAAACAACAGACAGGCATATGAGGTGAACATTTAACTAGGTAGATACAGTCCTTGAAGAGAACAATCATGGGAGAATAGAAGGCACAGGGACATAGCTCAGGGAGCAGGAGTGCATGGAGGGAAGGACACAGGGAAGAGGTAACTATGGGGAGGAAGTGAGAGGGGAGCTGTTGCGTTGAGGGAAATTGTGGTCAATGCCATGAGACAAAGTGAATGTGCTCTGTAAACTTTAACCCAAATCACAATTAAAAAAAAAAAAGTTGAGAGAAAAGTGATTTTATTCACATACCCTTATCCAGCTGAAGACCATCAATTCTTCTGGCCTTGTCTGGATATAAAAGGGTTGACATCTGTAGCTGGTACATATTAGAAACCTCTCAAATGACTGTTAAAACAGGAAAATGCAAAATAAAACAATGAGATATCACTTTTCACCCCGCAAATTGGCAAAAATAAGTTCTGACGATTCTAAGTGTTGGCATGGAGGAACACTAACAGGCTCCTCTATGCTGCTGATGGGTTATATACTGGTTAGTTAAAGAGAAGTTTGGCACACATGAAGTATATGCACATATGACCCAGCAATTACATTCCCAAGTATCTTGACTATAGAGAAACTCTTGCACGTGTTCATAAGAGATATTACGGAAAATGTTTGTTTCAACTTGCTAGTAATAAGAAAATGAAGGAAATTCTTCTGGTTACCTAGTGCTGCTCTGACAAGAATATCCCACAAATGAGATGGCCTTAACAAATAGTTTATTCTTACAATTTGGAGGCTTTAAATCCAAGTTCAAAGTACCAGAATATAGGGGCTGGGTGATAGCCCCTCAACCTTGGGGTGCAGCTCTGCCTCCTGCTCCTGACCCACAGGAGCTGGAGACGTTTCTTCACTCAAACAGCTGCTGGCTTCTGGGGCTAAAAGGCCAAGGTTGACAAGTAAAATGGCATAGTCCCAATGTTACCAAACCACACGGCAAGCCATTAATTCAAGTCCATTGTAAGTCCGCAGTTTCAGCAGAGCACAGCAGACTTCTGAACAATGACATGGCTATATGCAGGTTCCAAGCGTGCCATAAGCTAGAGACCATTCCCAAAAGCTTCTGCTTATATACAGGAAGCAGACCACATTCCCTAAAGCAGCTACTCAGCTGTTAACAGTAGATTCTACCATGGAGTTGATTACCAGTCTCATCATGGGGAATACTACATCCAGCTGCCCAGACATTCAACGAGACCCAACCAAGTTGACACACAAACTGAACTACCACAGAAATATTCAAAATGTCCTCAACAAGACATATAGAAAATATGAAAAATAAATTGTGGTCTAACCACATAATGGAATGTTGTTGTTATGTGCCATCGAGTCAAATCTGACTCATAGTGACCCCTCCTTGGGTTTCCGAGGCAGTATCACTACAGAAGTAGGATTGCCCAACCTTCCTTCCGAGGAGTGGCTGGTGGGTTTGA